GTGTGTGGGGGGGGGGTGTAAAAGAAAGAGAGAGAGAAAGATAGCAAAGGCAGTTTTGGACAGGACTAGACGGTAAGCTCCTTGAGGGTAGGGGCTGTGTCTTGATCACGGTTGTTTTTCTAAGAAGCCTACACTGTGTGTGGCACATAGTAGATCCCATCAAATGAGTGTATAATGAGTGTATAGGTGAGACCTGTATGTTTATTGGGGTTAAGATCTGTCGACTCCTCTGCCATGGCCACACGCAAACTCTTCATTCTGCCTCAAGACTTGCTAAAAGGAAGTTCTGACCATCCGGGGACAGTTCTTGAAGGGCACGTCACCGGCTACCGGTGTCAAGGATCTTGGCAGAACTCAGTGCTACATTAGGAACATCGCCACCTTGTGGTGCCTCTTGGGAGAGCTACTGGAGGGACCCCAGCAAAGGAAACAGGGTCATCCCTGGCAGGTATGGGCATAGAGGAAGGATAGTCATACCAGGCAGCAGCAACCCCTCCCCTTATGTATGGACCCTGAATTGCTGTGCCAATGTTCCTGTGGCACAGTTTTATCATTTGTTCCTTCCTTCTGCCAGCATCTGCTGAGAGCCTGCTCCAGGCCAAGCTTATAGGTGACACAGAACTAAATCAAAGGCACTACCCTTGAGTAGCTCATGGTCCAGTAGAGAATTACACAAAACCTCTCTGCCCTTCATCTCTCCCTCAGTTCCTCTCACTAAAGCTCAATTTTTTGTTTGTTTAATATTTATTTGGCTGAGCTGGGTCTTAGTTGCAGCATGCAAGATCTTTTAGTTTCAGCATACAAGCTCTTAGTTGCAGCATGTGAGATCTAGCTCCCCCACCAGGGATCAACTCAGGCTCCCTGCATTGGGACCATGGAGTTATAGCCACTGGACCACTAGGGAAGTCCTCAAATGTTTTATCCTTGCTTTCCGAGGATACCTCATGATGTGGTTCCCATACATCATTCCAGGATCCCATCCCTTTGCAACTCTGCCTTCCCCAGTGCCTGTGTTCCTTGTGAAAGCTGTGTGCTCTCCCACTTCTCTACCTTCACCCACACCCTGGAATGAACCTTTTCCCCATCTCCCCTGGCTGAAATTCATCTCAAAGCTGCCTTCCTCATGAGGCTCTTCTAATTTCCCTTGGCAAAGTGGCCTTGCCTCCTGACACACCTTCTTGGCAGGGCTTTCACTAACAGCACATACTGGCTGCTCCATGAGTGGAACATCTGTGTGTATTATTCATATTCTTATTGGCTTCTAGCTTTCTGAGGGCATGGACTCTATGTTTTGTTCATCTTGGCATCTCTTGCAACACTGAGCTAGGCACATCACATGCCCTCATTAAGATGGATGGATGGATGGATGAAGGAAGGAAGGAATGGATAGATGGATAAATTGATGGAAGGATGACAGATGAGTTGGTGAATGGATGGACAAATAGATGGGTGGGATGTATGGATGCACAGATGAATAAACAAAAGGATGGATGGATGCATGCATGGATAGATGGATGGATGAAGTAACTCTTCTCTAAAAAGATTCACAAAAGCTTATGTAAGGAACTTGCCTGGCAGTCCAGTGGTTAAGACTTCCCCTTTCAATACAGGGGGTGTTTGGTTCAATCCCTGGTCAGGAAACTAAGATCCCACATGACTTGCAGCCAAAAAACCAAAACATAAAACAGAAGCACCAATGACACACCAATGAAGAGTTTTTAAATGGTCGATGTTAAATAAAACTTTTTTTTTTTAAATTTTTATTAGTTGGAGGCTAATTACTTTACATCATAAATAAAACTTTTAAAAGAGGCTAAGTAGTACCAAGGGCTTCAAGAGAGGGAGCCCCCACACCAGGACACGCAGAGGAGATAATGGGTCCAGGCTGAGCCTTCGTTCACTAACACCCTCAGTGACTGGTCTCTCAAAGAAAGGTTTGGGTATATTCTGACTGCTCAAAAGTCACAGCTTGGGAGCCATTTCTTCCTTTATGCTCCCCTAGACCCTGTGGGAATGCCTTTATCAACATATATTATATTGTACTGCCTGCACTGTGATGACTCTGTGGGTTTCCTCTTCCAAATCCTTTCCCCTGTTTCTCATACAGCCTAGATGTGTGAACTCCCTGAAGATAGGTAACAGGTCTGAATCTTTTGTGTGTCCCTAAAGCCTGGCATCCATGTTCAATGGGTGAGTGAACAAATGAATAACTGAGTGAATGCATAATATCTACATATTCATGTTCAGCCATCTCTCCTTGTCCTCTCCTCCTCACACAAACACACTCACACATACACAGACACACAGACACACACACACACTCCTGATGACAAGTCCCAGAGTTATGGCCCAGTTCTTTGTTTCATTTACCCATTTGTGATCTATCTCGGGAAGTCCCAGGGCTCTCCTGAGAGTCTGAAGGGGGAGGGGGCTCTTAGCTCCCTTCAGAAAGGGGCTTCCCTGGGAAGAACCTGGCTGTTGGAAGGGTAGGAGCATCCTGTGGTAACCTGAGGGCTGCTGCCCCCACCTGAGCACACTCTCCAGTACTGCCCTCCCTATAAGGCTGTCCCAACATGGGGTGGGGGGCGGTGTAGTTGTGGTCTCTGTCCTGAGGCTGGCTGGCAGGCAGACGCAGCCAGATTTAGAAGTCATTTTCGCAGCGGGGAGCCTCCAGCCTCCCACCCACAGGGCCCTGCAGGGCCAGTCTGAGATATGGCTCACCAAGGGCTGGCCCCTGGGGCCTGTACTAGCTCCTCCTCTTCTGCTGTCTCACCCTTTTTCCCAGATCTTTAGCAGCTGGTGCTGATTTTACCCTTAGGCAAAGATGGAGGAAGTCCTGGGGGAGGGGGTGTTGCACTTGACATCCCAACCACCCATGTGCTCCCAGTACATCATTCACCCATTCAAGGGGCTGTCTGTCTCCACCCCAGGAGCCCCCTCTCCTCTCAGCCTCTGCCTCCTCTTCCTCCTAATCCTCCACCTCTACTTCTCTCTTCCCATCTCCCAACCCAACACTCCCAACACTACAGAAATAGCCCTAAAGAGAAATAATCGTCAGAGTTCAACACATATATCACTTACTGTGTACCAGGAGATGTTCTAAGTGCTTTCCACACTGAATCATTAATCCTCCCAACAAGCTTATGAAAAAAGCACTATTAATAGCTTCATTTTATAACTCAGGCTGCTAAGGCACAGAGAGGTTGAGTAACTTGCCCAAAGTCACACAGCCAGTATGAGGTGGTGGTAGTGGTGGTTTAGTTGCTCAGTCGTGTCTGACTCTTGCAACCCCATGGATTGTAGCCCACCAGGCTTCTCTGTCCATGCCCAAGCAAGTATACTGGAGGGGGTTGCCATTTCTTTCTCCAGGGGAATCTTCCTGACCCAGGAATTGAACCTGGGTCTCCTGCATTGCAGGTGGATTCTTAACCGACTGAACTACAAGGGAAGATCCAATATGAGGTAGATGCAAGATTTAAACCCAGGCTGCCAGATCCCAGAGTCCATGTTCTGGATACAACACTACCATAGTTCTCTAACAATGACAGAAGTCTGTGTAAGCTCTTAAAACTAGCCTCCTGTGTGTTCAGCCTCAAAGAAGCCTAGGCAGGATTGTGAACCCCCCTCCCCAGGGCTAGCCCCTCTGCTTTCCCATGCACCTCACCTCTCCTGCCAGTCCCAGACCCTGGGAGCCCCTGGACTACAGCAAAATCCAGGCAGATGCTCTCACTACTGCCCTGGTCTTCCTCAGTCTTCCTCCTAGCCTGAAGTCCATCCTGTTCTTAGGCCCAGAGGTCAAAGGCACACAACCCTGAGCTGGACCAGCTTGGCCTCTGTTTTCACTCCTGCCTTTATCTTCCACATCTCCTCTGAATGTATCCTCAACTCCAGTCAAACCAGACCATTTGACAATTTCCTAAACAAACAAACCGTTTCCCTTACACTCACACCTCTATTTTTGCTGTCCCCTCTGCTTGGAAACCCTTTCCCCAAATGCTATCTCAGATGCCCACCTCCTCCATGGAGCCTTTCATGATCTCATTGAATCTGTACAATCTGCCTTGTTTGATTCTTTATAATACTCAACACCCACTGTTCAGTCTATCATTATTTACGTGTTTTCTCTTCACCTCATCAGGCAGGTTTTACTCATCTCTTTCTTGGAGCTCAGCTTAGTGTCCAGTTCTTCTCAGGTGCTCAGTAAATGCTTAGGAGTTAGAATCAGCAGAAGTTAGAACTGTAGGTGGAAGGAAGACAGAACTCAGTAACTTTGATCTCTGCCCAAGGTTAACCCCCACTTACTTTACTTCCTCCAGCAAGAGCTAACTTGAAACCTGGCAGTATGGTTTCCAGGCAGGTTCTGAGATGGACGGACCTTCCTGGGTAACTCTGACCAATGTTATCCATTTCGGTTCAAAGCCCCAAAAACCGCCCCGCCCCCCGCAACCCATTCCACTGAGCCAAGGTCAGACGCCCAGTTTAGGGTCCAATCCAGCGGCCTCCCTACCCTGCCCCCCTCCCAGTCCTGCCCAGTCTCTCCGGGTGCGGGTGGGGAGTGACACTGAGATAATTGGAGACCAAAACTCTAAGTGGTTTGAGAGCGGGGCTGGGGATCGGAACGCTGAGCCGGAGTTGCTGTTGGCAGGACTCGGTGGGGGTGGGGGGCAGAGGCGGGGCCGAGGGCCGGGCCAGGACTCTGCGACTGAGTCTGAGCGAAGCCCCCGCGCCTGCCTAGTCGGCGGCTAAATTTACCCAGGCTGACTCAGCCCTTGCCCGGAATGGGGGGGTGGGGGGAGTGTATCGAAGCAATGGGAAGAGCCAGCGGGGGTGGGGTGGGGGGCAAGGAAGGGAGAGTCCGCACTGGGGGAGACAGGGGTGGGCCGGAGTTTCCATCAGAGAAAGGGGTCTCCTCCAAGGCCCCGAGCAGGAAGGAGCGCAGGAACCCTGGGGGGAGGGATGCTCTGGGGAATGGGACGGTGAGAGGAAAAAGATGCCAAGGCTGGACAAAGGGAAGCTTAGATTTATTGAGCGCCTGCTGTGTCCCCAGGTACTGTGCAAGGCGCTTTACATACATTATCGCATTAAGTCCTCACAACAACCCTGCGAGGTAGGTGTTTATAAACCCCCATTTGACGGATGAGGAGACTGAGGCTCAGGGAGGTGAAGTGATTTGGCCGAGTTCACATGGCTAGTAAATAGAGACAGAGGCGGTGTCCGAGATCGAAGAGAAAAAAATACTTCAGTGTCTGAATCCCAGGCTGTTCGCTGTGGACGAGTACAGAGAGGGGCTCCGCGCGCTCCCAAGGTCTGCAAGGCCAGAGGCCTACTCGCGATCTCGCATGGCTGGAGACGGCAAGGCAGGGGACCCGCGCGCAGGAGCTAGGGAGCAATTGATTAACTGGCAGTGCCGAGGGTTGGCAAGACTCGGGGACTAGCTACGAGGGAAATCCGCGACCTGCGCGCGCCCCGTAGTGGCTACAGCGAGTATCACACCCCACACCTACAGGCTTTGGGGGACCGGCCTCTTCCCTTGCTGGTTTCTGGAAGAGGCAGAAACACGTAAGACCTTCTCAGGATTCTCTTTCACCTGGGTGGGAAATCGTGGTAACTATTTAGAGCATCACCAAGGAACACTGGGGCAGAGGAACAGGGGAAGGCCTAAAGGTCCCAAGCAGCTTCATTGGGTGCCTTCCCTCCCCAGCTCAGACCACCACAAACTAGGGACAGTGACAAGGCCACCATCCTGCCCTGCCTCAGGGATCCTACACCTAAACCTGAGAGACTGGAATAGGAGCCCTTGCCCACTTGCTTGGCTCTTCTGCAAACCCCGTACAGTCTCTTGAGTTGAGAGTGAATGCAGGTGTCCATGAAGCCACCCAGGGACCCTCAGACTCTGTTCACTTATTCCTAACTGTGAAGATATAAGAGCCTCTCCTAGGACTCCAAAACATCAGGAATGGACCTTAGAACGCCCTCATTTTACATATTATAGGAACTGGAGAGGGGAAATGACTTGCTTAAGGTCACCCAGCAAATCAGTCTCAGAGTTGGGGTTGGAACCCGAGATCTGTGAAACCAAAGTGAGTCCTCCTCTGCTTTGCTGGTGGCTTCTGCCAAGGGCCTCTCTGTCACCTGATCACCTCAGTTTGAGGCCTCTCCATCACCTTCCTCCTCCTGCTCAGAGGCCTGTCCTGCGGTTGCCCTGACTATCCCATCCCTGCCCTCCGGCCTCATCCCACCTAGGCCTCTCTGCTCAGCTCCATGCTAGTGCACTGGGCCCTGCTGAAGACCTTACCCACAGGCACTGGGTGGAGAAGGCATTCAAGTCTACTGCACACCCTCACCTCTCCTGGGAAAAAAATCATGACTTGGCATGTGCTCCCTCTCATCTGTGTGCCTTCTATGTTGAGTTCGGGAAAGGGTGGGTATAGGTAAGGGGTACAAGGACGTCTGTGAGGAGAAAAGGGGACACAAATATAACAAAGGGCCTCTCACTGTTGCTCCCTATTTCCCTGTGGAGTCCCCTTAATGTCCCTCGCCCCGAAGAGGACCTCCTAGGTTTTGCGGATGGCACCTACAATCTCTTGGGCATTGCCGCTCAGCTCGGCTGTCTTCCCGCCTTCCGGGGGCCCGGTCCGCTCTTCCCGCCAGGAGGCGCCCGAGGCTTCCGTGTCGCTCGCATCAGAAGAGCTGCTATGGACGCTGAGCTCCGCAGCTTCGTCTGAGTCGGAGTCCGGGGCGGTGTGGCGGCGGATGCGGGACACGGCTTCCCGCAGGGCCCCGGCATAGGGTCCAGGAGCTCGCGCCCAGCCCCGGCCTGCGCGCCGCGGGCCGGACGCCCCTTTCTCCGATCCCTCGGCACCGCGCGCTCCCCTCGAAGCCGCTGGGCCTAAGGCTGAGTGCTCTGGGCTACCTGGCTGCGTGGGGGGATCCTGTAGGTTTACTTCGCCAACTGGGAGCCCCAAGATGCGGGAGGCGCGCTCCTCCAGTGAGGAGTCCGCGGGCTTCCCGCCCTCAGCTTCGAGCCCCCGTCCCTCCCTGGGTTGGAGAGAAGGGCGACTGCTCAGCAGCAGCTTTCGGCGAGGGGAGGGAAGGACCGCGGGCCCCTCTCCCTCCTCTTGATTGGGTTTCGGTTGGCTGGGGGCATTCCCCACAAGGCGCGGCACCCCGGCGGGCAAAAGCTGCACATGCTGGGTTCGAGGGGTCGGGACGTACTGGGAGCGTATCACCACGCAAGTGGCGTCAATGACAAAGACGCCTTCCCCACGAGCGGGGCCACGGGAACTTCGGGGCAGGGTGTGGGGGCGTCGGGTCGCCTTCCAACCCTCCAAGGTCTCGGGTCCCGTCTCCCCTCTATGACCCAGGGATTCTCTCCATCCCGTGCCGCCTGGAGCCCAGGGTCTGGGGAGGGTCTGGCTGTGTCGGGGCGGCTGCTTTTTAATGGAGGGAACCCAGTGTTTGGGGAGCCAGGTCTGGTCTCTACCTTCCCTTCCTTCCCCGGAGCCCTTGGGATGGGGTCTGGACCTGGGAGTGGGACGCGGGGGGCTAGGGGTGGCAGTGGCAGACCCCGCAGGAACTGTGCCTGGGCTCCCAGCGGCTTTAGCTTGGGGATGGCCGTCGCTACCACTCTTCAGGCCAGCAGCAGCCAGCCTCAGGCTTTTCTCCGCGGCCCCCTTACCGGACTCCAGCCTTGGCCTGTCTGTTCCACAGCCTGGGGATCCCCCCAAGAGACCCCGCCCCTGACGGAGACCCCAGGCCCCTAGGACGTCCCGGTAGATCCGAGGATCTAGCCTCTTCTTTGCGCACCCTCCCTCTGTCCTAGTCGGCGCAGAGGTTGAAGAGGCGCGCGCCTGCGAGGGCTCTGGGCCTCGCTTAGTCCCCAGGGTCCTGTGGGGGCCCTCGTAAGAAGGTGGAGCCACGTAGGGTGGCGGCCGGTCCCAGCGGCGTCGCGGGGCCATCCCGGCAGCGCCTCTCAGCAGCAGGTGAGCCTCGTAGCTGGGGGGCCCTGGCCGCCGACCGCCCCAGGGCCCCGCCCACGCCGCCCCAGGGTTGCTCTGCGGCTGCGCGGATGGACGGGGCGGTCGCCCCACCGACCCCAGGCGCTCCGGCCTTGAGGAAGCTGGGAGCCCTGCAGAGTGGGCCACCCGAAGTGCATTCCGAGGCTCCAGGCGGGGCCGACCAGGGGGACTCCTTCGGGCCCCACCAGCCTTGCGCCTTTTTCGCTCGGTCTCCTTGGCCTCCCGCTCCTGCGATGCCGCTTTCCTTTTCTCTTGCTCCCGGGCTCGGGCCTCGGCCGGGGGCCCCGCCCGCCAGTTGGTCGCCTCCTGCAGCACCCTGGAGGCCCAGGGCCGGCGGGGCAGCGGCTCAGGGGATCCCGGGCGCGGCCCACACCTGGGACAATGAGCAGGAACCCAGGTGAGCAGTTTGTGGGGGAAGGGAGCCGAGGTCCGGGGAGCTGGGAGCGCTGGAGGCCACTTGGGGCCGCCAGGTGGAGGGATGTGTGTGAGTGTGTGCGCGTGTGCACGTGTGTATATGTTAGGGTTGAAGTCGAAGCGGGACTCCTCACCATCTCTCCATGCACACTTTAACAGCGTCTGCCCCATCTCACCTGCCCTTTCTCACGCCCACTCCTGTGCCCCCAAACAAACGGGATGAGTCAGGCCCCAGCCTTCGGGACGGGGTTGGGGGAGGCGTGGGAAAGAGAAGGGGGAACAGCAGCGCTGGCTGGTGCCCACGGGAAGGTCCGGACCCCAATCCCTGCCCCACCTCTCTCTTCCCCTTACCCCTCCTTCACTCACGTGCGGCTCTGGGGCCCGCGGACCCAGTGGCTGGCCTGGAAGTCCATGAGCTGTCGAGGAGGGGCGCGGCGACTATAATGACAGGAAATAGTCTTCACCTCGATCACCAGCAGCTTGGATTTCTGTACCCAGAGGCAGCTGCCAGACTCCTCATCCTGGAGCTCCCGGGGGCTATCGGGCCCCTCGGAGAAGAGCTGGCCATCCAGCATCCTGCCCCACCCCACCCCGGCCCCCCACCTAGCCCGGGGAGCCGGCGCCCACTGCAGAGCAGCGGGCCCAGCGACTGGGGACTATATATACCCAGGCACACGTGTGTGCCTGTCTGTGTGTGTGTGCGCGCGCATGTGACACGGCGCGGACGGCTCCGCGCTGCTACCTCCCCCACGTGCACGACCGCCCCCTGGGGCCCGGGATTGGGCGCCCCTTCCCACTTCTCTTGTCCCCCAAGCCTGATGGGACCCGCACGAGTGGGCAGGGGATTTCTTATTCTTGCCAAGCTGACAGTGCCCCCACCCCCGCCCCCGTTTCTTCAACCTTCCCGCCGTTTTAACCCTTCACTCTCCTGCTTCTCGGAGTGCCTGACCAGCAGCGCTCTGTCTCTGACATCCTGCCCGACTTTGATTTCTTCATCAGGGAGGTGATGGGAATGGAACTCAAGGTCTCTGCCTGCCACTCTTTGCTGGTTTCCAGGGGGTTGGGGTGCAGGAAGGGCTGGCCCACGGCTGGGGGGTTTATTTTTAGCGGCAGTGGCTTTCGGGAGCAGAGAGGAGATGAGTAACCAGCTTCCATGCAGTGGAGGGAGGAGGTGGTGGCTTGCCCGCAGCCTTTGTGCGACTCTGGGGGAGAGCTGCCTCCAAGCTCAAGAAGGGTCACCCCCACACCCTTAACTCCTTACCCTCTCAGTGGTGTGCCCAGGGCTGCTGGCACAGCAGGACAGGAGTCTGTCTTGGCCATCGAAGCTGCCCACACTTTCATCCTTAGATGTTTGTCCTTGGGCACCCATGGAGCCCTCTCTCTGAAGCAGGCTCTCCCAACCCCCAATCCAGAAGCCAGGATTTGAGGGTCCTACTGTTCTCAGCCTGAACTCTGCTCAGACTTTTGGAGGAAAGAGTGCTTACGCACTTGCACCCTTTCAGAGGGTATAGAGGAGGAATGGTGTGCTTCCTTGGCTAAACTAATCCCCTAGCAACTGAAATGATACAACTGGCCCCCATTTCCCAGCGTAGCCCTCTCTGTCACCGCTACCACAGTGCCTAGCTCGTTCAACCCCCACCTGGAGTGGTGCTCAAGGTGATCACCTTTCAGGCTCATTCTGTCCTGGGTGGGGGTGGTTGCTTGCATGATCCCTCCCCCCAAGCCTATACCAGGTGTCCCCTGATTCACCATGGTAATGTTAGTGGCAGTACAGCCCACGCCAACCCTTCCATGCAGAGACTTAGCAACCATGCCTGGCAACCATGGCAGCAGCTCCAGTGGAGAGGAGGGGTGCGGGGAGGTGGGAGAAAAGAGTGTGTATGGCAACAGTGCTGAAGAATGGATAATGCATCTCTCCTGAAGAATAGGTAAGAATAGAAGGCTATGAGGCTCCCAAATTTTATCCCTTGTCTTTCCTTCTGCTCCATCCTCATACCCTGAGACTGACTGGTTGGGTTTTTTAGGGGGACAGGAGAAGCAGATCCCAATTTGTTTTCCACTAACGTATACACAGCCCTTGGACACAGACCCTTCCTTTTAAGGTGAGGAGCCAGGAGGATTGTTTTAGAATGGGCATTGACTTACTGGGAACCACGGAAACAAAACCCAGGCCTCCTGCTCCCTAACATGGACCTTTTAGAGAGAACCCAAACATCCTCTGTCCCATCCGCTCAGCCCACTTTACACCTACCAGCTACACCGGTGGGGTGGCTCTTGCTTGAAGATGCTTCCTTCCACCCAGGTCCCACCAGAGCCCCAAGGTTTTAAAAGTCCTTGCCTCCTCCCTAGACATGATGGAATGTGACAGAAGGCGACATCTGGCCTTTCCATCATGCACACACCCACACACACACAAACATACCCTAATTCTAATAACTTATAAGCCTTCCTCCCTCAAGAGTGGGAATGTGCTGTGAGAGCTTTGAAGGGGTGAATGCAGAAGCAGGGGCTTCTCCAAAGCCCCACAGCGCAGCACTGAGAGCAGAGCTTGGACGAGTGCCCAGTGCTTTTCTGTGTTCCATGGAGAAGCCTGGTTTGGAGGAACCAGTAGAGAATAGCCAGGGTCATGAGTTATCAGGCACAGTCTGTGTAGGGGCAAGGAAGTACTCTGAAACTCCTTCAAATCTGGGATAGGAAATGGTCCCATATCTCTAAGGCAGTGGTGAGACAGTCCCCAGAATGTGGGTCATACCCAACCATCTAGCAGCCCTTATGGTGCCTGGTGCTTGGACTACTGCTTTGGTCCACGTGGTTTCAGCACAGGGACAGGGTGACCGTAATCCTGCTGCTCCCCACCCCTCCTCTCCAGCTCTTACCCACCTTGGAAGAAAGGGATTTATAAGTTCAAAGACAGCTCAGCAAAATCCAGAGTCCAACCTTCCCTAAGAAAAGTGGATGATAATGGCAGGTCTCTCTGCCTACCCAGAGGAGACCCTCAGTCTTTCTACTCTCTGGAGACCGAGACCTAGCACTGTTATGGAATTTTCCTTGGATGCCAGCTATGGTCCAGGCAGAGGAGAAAGAGAGGTGATAAGGAGACTGCAGGGAATAGGGTGGGAAACAGTTTTGAAAGGAGAATTAGAAAGAATCTAGTGTAGTGGTAAAGTGCATAAGCTCTAAAGCAAGACTGTTTCAGCTCAAATCCTAGCTCTACTTTTTATTAATTCTGTGGCCCTAGGCTAGTTACTTGGCCTTTCTGTAACTCAGTTTAAAAAATACATAAAACTGAAATAGTATCTACTATTGTTCTGAGGATTAATTGAAGTAATATATATAAAGCACTGAGAATGGTGGCTGGCACACAGTTTAATATATGTGTGTGTGTGTGCTATTATTATTGTTCTTAATGATGAGTTGAAGAAGCCATATGAAGTAGAAACGCTTGAGCAGTAATGTCTATCAACTACAAAAATCAAACACTGAAATACCATGAAGAGGCTCCTGTCATTTTAATTAGGTTTGCCAGGAAAAGCAATAACCTCAGCTAACCACTCTGCCCTCCCCCTCCCTGCAACTCTCATCTCCTTTCATATGCATACAGCACAGGAAGCCAAGGGCCCTCCTCCCCGTGATCCTCCCCACTCCCATTAGAGGAAGAAATGCCACTACATGGACTCAGCCTCCTCCATACAGCATGAAACATGATGAATAAAAACATCTTTATGCAGAGTTCTGTTGTGCCTATTATCTTAGGGTGGAGTCAGGGACAGAGGCAAAGGCTGGGTGAGGTCTGAGGATCTCTTAGAGATCAGGATTTGCCTGAGGAGCACAGAGTTCATAGGTCACCCAGAAAGGGGGCTATGTCTAAAAGGAAAGGGGCTAGGATGGGCTAGGCTGAAAGTTTTCCTCAAGGGTGAGGATAAGGAGAGCTGAAAATCCATTTTCCTTCCTCCCCCACACGATCCCTCCTCCCATGTAGAAGGGTAGGGGGCTCCTGGGCAGGGAACAGAGTCACAATTCTCTAAAGGTCTCATCTGTGGTTCCCAGAGCTTTGGGCAGGCAGTGAGTAGGGCATATGCCCTGGTGCTGCACGACCCCTTCCCCCGGTTCAGGGCTTCTCTCCGCCTGTGAGCACCAGCGCCTGCAGGATGTCAGACAGGGATACAATCCCCTTGACCACATCATTCTCATCCACCACTACAAGTCGGTGAACCTGCATAGAGCCATGAGGGAGAAAGGGATGTTTAGTGCCAGCCTCATTGAAGGTGAGCCCTTCAGTCCCCACCCTCCATGCCAAACCAGAGCTGCTCCTCCCAGCTCCTTTTGGGTTGCTGGCCCTCCTACCTCTGCTTCTACCAGCCTGTTGATGATGGTTTCCAGAGTCTCATGCAGGTAGCACTTGAGAACACCCTCAAAGTAATGTGATCGATGTTGCAGGGCTTTGGTCACCGACACATCTAGGTTGTTGTAGGTCTTTTCTGCTGCCAGGTTCTGGGGAGAGAGAGGAAGATTCATGCAGGGAAGCAAGGGAGCCAGCCCCCAAACCCTGAGCCCACCCCACCTCACAGAGTGATTTAAAGTAGGTGTCAGCCATGCCCACAAGCCACGCCCAGCTCATTCAATTCCTTTTCAAACAGAATTTGAAAGCTTGGAAACTTCTAAAACCCTTAGATCCCAGAAGAGACTCTTCTTCTCCCTCTCCACATTCAATACCCCACCCCTTTCCCTACCTCCCAACCCACCCCCCCCAATCACTCACGATAACATCAAACTTGGAGTAGATGTCCACCACACGCCCTAGGGGGACAGAGGCAGCTCAGCAAGGAGGATCTGGCATCCAAGGCTCCCCCTGCCTACAGAACCACCTTCCAGGCTGAGCTGAGGGGACAGCAGATTTCCCCACAGCTTCCCTGGAGCCCTCCTCTCCCTGTGCCCAATCCCTCACCTTTCTCATCCACCACTGGCAGGGCTGAGACTCGGTGCTGTACAAAGATGCCCAGAGCCACGTACACAGGGGTGGTGGTGCGGACCATAGCAATGTTGGCATAGGTGCCAATCTGTAGCTCTTCCAGAGACTTAGACATGAACTCTGGCTTGGGGAACTCGGTGATCTGAGGAAATAACCATCACCTTGATTTTTTTTCAAGGCCCCTCAAACTACCCTTGGATACTCCTCCAACCAGTATATAAGAGGTAAACACTGGGCTGAGGAGAACTTACAAATAACTTGAGGAACTTGAGGATGCGCTTGTGGGTGAGGATGTACAAGGTGTTGCCTGATTCCGGGTCAATAACTGGCAGCCTGTGGATCTTGTTTCGAATTAATGAAGAGACAGCATCAAACAAGCTGTGGGAAGGCAGGGATTAATGATAAGTTCCACAGTGGTGGGCCTGAGGGTGCTGAAGTAGCTCTTTAGAGTGTGTTTACAAACAGGGAAAATAGGTGGTGGAGGGAGAGGAGCAGTGGGTTCAGACCAGACCTAAAGAATGTGCATGCATGTGTGTGCATGTGTGTGTGTGTGTTTGGGAGGAGTGTCTTTTTTCTCTTCTGTTCCTGGCTCTTTGGGTATCTAGGGCCTTAGCTATG